AGGCAGTTGGCGGTGGGCAATTCTCCCCAAGCTTCTCCCACCCGGAGTCCTTCCCAGGAGGAGGAGGCAGAGTCATGCGTAGGTCAGCTCCCCTATGCTAAGCTTTCCCAAACTGGGTACGGCAGCCTCCTGGGCATTGAGTTGCTCTAATGTCCAAGGGAGCGGTCCCTGCTCGGGCTGCCGAAGTCTCACTGGGGCAGTCTGGAGGTTGGGATTGGTCCTCTGTGGGCTCCTCACAATCCCCAGTCCTGCTGCCTCCACAGCCCCCTGCCCTACGAGGAGCTCACCCAGCTGATAGATGAAGCCAGCGAGAAGAACATGAACCTCTTCATCCTGACGCAGGTAAGCCACGACCAGCATTTCTGCGGGTGCCGCCATGGCCGGGTCTGCCAAGGGCTGCTCCTTCCTCTCTCTCTCTGCAGGAGATCATGGTCTACCTCGCCATGTACATCCGGACACAGCCAGCCCTCTTTGCGGAGATGTTCCGCCTGCGCATTGGGCTGATCATTCAGGTGATGGCGATGGAGCTGGCCCAGTCGCTCTGCTGCTCAGGTGAGTGGGATCAGCCTGGGTGCTGCTGGGCCAATTGGAGGCTTCTTTTGTGTCTGAAACCACTTTGTGGCTGCAGCGAGGGGCCTTTCAGGAAGGGGGGGGGAACCGTGGGTTGATCAGCTCTTCCTTTCCTCTTCCTTTGGCTTCAGGTGAAGAAGCTGCCGAAAGCCTGATGAGCCTCAGCCCTTCCCATATGAAGAACCTTCTCCACCACATCCTCAGTGGCAAAGAATTTGGTGTGGAGAGAAGCGGTGAGCTGCTTGCCTCGGGTGGGGGCTGGGAGGGGTCCGCCGTGTACGGCAACAGAGCCAGCCCAAATGGAGGCAACCAGCTCGGGAATCCTGGGGCTGGTAGCCCAGCTATCTGAACTCACCTGTTGACGGAGGTGAGGGAACCCAGGCTGGCATTTGAGTCTTGGGGCCTGATGTTCCTGCAGTGCGGGCTACGGATTCCACCCTGACCCCAGCGGTTTCCATCCGTGAGTTTGGGGCTGTGGGAGCAACAAAGTCGGAGCGCGCTGGCATCGTCAAGCTCAAGAGTGAGATCAAACAGGTGGGCTGCTCCTGCCTGGCCTTGCCCAGGCCGGGAGGAGAGTTTCAGAGGCAGGAGGGTAAGCGTGTGTCCCACCGGGACTGCTGGCAAAGGGGAATTTCTGGAGAAATTGCAGGTTTCTTCACCCTGGCTGACAGCTGCTCTGCTGAGCCCCAGATGGGGATAGGGGCTTCCTTCCCTTGTGGGGCAGCCAAAGGTGGTTGGCAGAACTGGGGGTTGGGCTGCTTTTGAGCTGACTCCTCTACTATCTCCCCAGCCTGGGCAAATTTGCTCCTTTCTTCCAGGTGGGCTGGGCTTTTCCATCTGGGGGGAGGGGCGCGTTAGTGTCAGGGAGAGCAGTTTCCTCTCCACATCTAACACCTTTTTTCTCTTCCAGCAACTGGATAGAAGTAGGCGGTCTTTGTCCGAGATTAAGGTGAACCCCCCTGTGTTCCTTTCAAAGGGCGGCTGTCTCGTGACTCTCTCGCCTTACAGGGGGGACCTGGGCCTGAAGGAGCCACAGAGGGCCTCGAGTGGGATGGGGGTGGTGGCTGAAGGACACCTTGAGTGTGGCAAATGCAACTGCTGCTTCTGGCAGAGAGAAGGGAGCAGGAGTGGGCTGACCTTGACTGGACAGGGCCAGCCCAGGGTCCGGAGGAGACGGCAAAACCAGTGGAAGCTCCTGTTGAAGCCCTTTGGCTCAGTTTCCCTTTCCAGCCAGTTCTGGAGGTGGTGGAGGCAGCTGGGCACCTTAAAACTAGCTTTCCCCCTTTCCTGTAGCAGTGGGCATTCAGGGCCCTCAGGAGAAGGGGCTCCTTGGGAGCACCTCCCCAGAAGTGGCCAATCAGTGGGAATCCGTGGCCCAGGAAGCCTGTGGAAGCGAGGGGCACATGCTGCAGCCCATGGGGTCTCCATACAGAGCTGAGTTTGCCTGCTTGCCTTCTGACTCCAGGGGAGCTGCCTCATGAGTGGCCGTGTCCCTCCCTGGGCCAGGCAGTCTGGACTGGAGCCGCCTGTGCTTGCTTGGCTTCCCTTCCCAGGGTCCACAGCCCTCCCCTGTGCTGGCTTTTGAAAGAAGAGGGTCCGCTAATTTTTCTCACAGCTTTGCTTTTAACAGACAAACCGGCCGTGGCTTGGTGTGTCCGCTCGGCTCTCACGCCACGTTCTCCCTGTGCTGTGGCCGTGGCTGCCTCGGGTCTCCTAAAAGGGCTGCAACTGGTCTCTCTCTTTCTTTCCAGGCTGGGACCCTGCATTCCTTGGAAGCTGGAGTGGGCCCTACCCAGGCAAGTCCTCCCTCCCGAGCTGCTGCTTGGCCACAGGCTGCTTCTGCGGGCATGGCCAACCCTCCAGCTTTTTTCTCCACAGTTGTCCGGATCCTCCCTCGCTCCAGGCAGAAGAGATCCCGCTCCGGCCCCAGTGGATTCCTCCGCCAAGGACGGGCGCCAAGGGCAGTGGCTGCGGCGGCGGCGGCTGGATGGGGCCCTCAACAGAGTCCCAGTGGGATTCTACCAGAAGGTCTGGAGGATCCTGCAGAAGGTGAAGGGGGTGGCACCCGTCTGCTCTCCCCCCCCTCCCCCAATATCAGCTGCAGCGTAGCAGTACTGTCCAAGGCCGCCTGAGTGGAAGCTGCAAAGAAAGGAGGCCCCGGATAAGAGGAGCTCTGAACGGTGCAGCCAGGCTAAGCAGCTCCTGTGGGCAGCTCCAAGATCACTGTCAGCTACTCCGGAGGATGAGCAGGAGCTGGCAGAATTGGGGCAGCAGGCCGGGCCTCCTGGCTCACCTGAAAAGCTGAGACCATTGAGACAAAATGGCCTGTGGAAACAGCTGCCTTTCTCCTCTCCTCCTGCAGTGCCACGGGCTCTCTGTTGAAGGCTTTGTTCTCCCTTCTTCCACAACCAGAGAGGTAATGGCTGCACTGCCCCTTTATCCTAAAAAGGAGGGGTGTTCCTGTTCCCCAAATATTGTGTCTGCAGGGGGGTTCCTCCATTGTTCCTCCAGAAGTTCCTTCTGGCTTCTGGGGAAGACTCCTTTCCCTGTTCTGACCCTTGATTGGGTGCCTCGTGGCTATCAGGAGCCGTCCGTTCCTCCTTACAAAGAGCCCCATTTGGGGGCAGGTTAGGGACCGCTCAACTCAAGAGAGGCTTCCTTTGGCCATAGATGACTCCTGGAGAAATCAAGTTTGCAGTCCACGTTGAGTCCGTGCTAAACCGAGTCCCTCAGCCTGAGTACCGGCAGCTGTTTGTAGAAGCTATTCTGGTCCTGACACTGTTGACGGATGCCGAGGGTCCCAGCCTTGGGGGCCTGGTAGCTGTGGACAGGATTGTGCATGTCGCAAACGATTTGTTCTACCAAGAGCAGGTTGGGGCCTCTTTTTGCTGGGGCTTCCCTGGCCCAGGGAGGAAAGGCAGGCTGCATGGCCTGGGTGTTGAGGGAGGAAGGCTGTAGAGCATGGCTGCTCACAATCCAGTGGGTGGAAAGTTGACCGCAGCTTGGCCTGCTGGACAGAGTCCTTGGGCCCTCCGCTGCAGCTGGAGCAGATGGGGACATAAACCCAGCCAAAGAGAGTGGGATCTCTGGCAGACACAAGCTGCTTTTGTCCCCTACCTGCTTAGCCCCGACAATAACACGCTCTTCTTCTTACGTTGCAACCAGAAAATCCTGGGGGCCGATGACCACATGCTGGAGAAGGACTCGGCCACTGGCATTTGCAAGCTGCTCTACGACAGTGCTCCAAGCGGCAGGTTTGGCAGCATGACCTACCTCTCCCGAGCGGTGGTTACCTGCGTGCACGAGTTCCTCCCAAGCAGTGGCTGCACCACGCAGTGAAACTGCCTAGATTCCTCAGCAGCACCAAGAGTCACCTTGGGGGTGCGATTCCCTGGCTCCGCACCTTGGAAGCAAGCAGCACAGCCAGCCACTTTCAAGAACTGCAGCAAGCAAGATGTGAACTGGGAGGTGTCTGGCCCAGAACTTTTCCCATCTGAAGGGGTCTCTCTCTCCCTCTCCGTCTCCCGACAACAGAAGCCATGAGTTGCTGTTGGACGGTTCTGGAAGTCGGAGAACTTTACTTTCCACATGAACCAGGAGCCCCACACTGTTCTTAGGGAGGGCTTCTCCCTTTGAGGGGCTTTTCGTAGTTAAGTGTCAATCACGGGTGCTTTGCTCTTTCCTGGAGAGCAACTCCATTCAAGACGGGATGCTGCTTTCTCTACTCAGTGCTTGGGGGAGGGTCTTTTCTGCCACATGTGACACAGCATTCTGGGAAGAAAAGTCCCTGGAGCATCCTTTGGGGCAGGCTGGAAATCTAGGTCTGGCATTTGCACAGGTGGGGTGGGAGGAATGACGGGGGCTAGTTGGGGGAGTCGGGGAGGGGCATCTCCCTTTTGGGGGGGGGAAGAGGGCCCGATGGCAGCAAACTGCAGAACCTCAGAAGGGTCTCCTCTTGATCAGGTTAATCCCCGAGCCACTTCAAGAGCCCCCTCCTCTTTTGGGTGGTGTGGTTGGGGGCTGCTCTGGCCCACCTGCGCTCCACCTGCAGGGCTTCGACCACCCTGTGCCCAATTGGCCTTTTGAACACAAGGGCTTTTCAGCCCTACCAGAGAGGCGGGCTTTGTTGTGTGTGTGTGTGTGCCAAGGACCCCCTTGGCTTTGCGCCATGTATTCTGGCCACGCTGAACCCGTTTTTGGAGGGCGAAAGTGGGGAGGGAGGCGCGGGTTGCGAGTCCAGCGCCCTGTGTGGCTTTCAATAAACCGCTGAGCTGGAGTGACAACCGGTCTCCGAGTTTGATCCTTGCGCGGCGGCCTCTAAGACCCTTTGGGGAGGGAGGGCGGCTAGCAGAGGCGGGGGGGGGGGGGCGCTCAGCAACAGCCCCCCCCACGGCTCCCCGGCAAGGCAGGACTTCATTTCCCGGCGCGCAACGCGGCAGGAAGCCCGTCCCGAAGCAAGCGCGCGCGAGGCTCGCTCGGCCCGGGGCGCTTATGGACGGCTTGCCGCCGCCGCCGCCGGTCTACGTGTACGGCGCCGAGTACGTGGCGCGATGCGACTCCCTGTGCAAGGTCCCGCGGCGGGTGCGTGGTGGTGGTGGGGCGCTTGGTGGGGAATGTTGGGGGGCGCTGCCCGCGCGGGGAGGAGCTGAGCCGGCGCCCGTCTCTCTCCGCAGGCCAGCATGGTGCACGCGCTGGTGGAAGCCTACTCGCTGCTGCAGCACATGAGGTAGGCGGGCGGGCGGGCGGGCGCCGTCCCGGGCTGGGGGTCTGGCCGCGGAGCCCGCCCGCCTGAGCGTTGCCTTCCTAGGGTCGTCCAGCCGCGCCCCGCCCGCATGGAGGAGATGGCGGCCTTCCACACCGACGCCTACCTGCAGCACCTGCAGCAGGTCAGCGAGGACGGCAACGAGGACCACCCGGACTCCGCCGAGTTCGGACTCGGTGAGCGGCGGGCGGAGACCCCGCGGCCCCCCACCCCGCCGCCGCCGCCGCCGCCGCCACGCCCCCGCTAATTCGTCCCTCTCCCCTCCTCTCCCCCGGCAGGCTACGATTGCCCGGCCAGCAAGGGCGTCTTCGAGTACGCGGCGGCGGTCGGCGGGGCCACCCTGACGGCGGCGCGGTGCCTGGTGGAGGAGAAGGGCCGGGTGGCCATCAACTGGGCCGGCGGCTGGCACCACGCCAAGAAGTACGGGCCGGCGGGGGTGCGGGGGGGGGCGCTGGGAACGGCTTTCCCCCGCCCTTTTGCCTCTGCGCCCCGGGCGGCCTCGCCGAGCTGCAACGTCTCCCTCCAGGGACGAAGCTTCGGGCTTCTGCTACCTGAACGACGCGGTGCTGGGGATCCTACAGCTGCGCCGGAGGTTCGACCGGGTTCTCTACGTTGACCTCGACTTACATCACGGGGACGGTAAGGCTCCCCCGGCTTAAACGGGGTGGCGGTGGTGACCGAGAAGGCGCTCTGCCTGGAAGCGGGTTTTCCCCAGGGCAACGACTCTAGGAAGTGAATCGCCTTTGGATATGAATCTCTGGATGGCAAAGCCGAAGGTGAACAAAAGGGGGAGGGGGCGCCGTGGAGGACACTCTGGAAGGGGGTTTCTAACCTGGCAATGTCTAGATCAGGGGTCAGCAACCTGTGGCTCCAGAGCCGCATGCGTCTCTTTGGGCCCTCTGCTGTGGCTCCCTGTCAGGTGATCCCACCCCTGGCTGGCCCTCCCCCTCCCAGTCACTCCTCGCCTGGCCTGAGAAGGTAAGGGCGATGGCGGGGGATGGAGAAGCGGCCAGGACAGAGACAGACAGAGAGAGGAAGGGGGGGGGGAGAGAGAGAGGAGAGAGAGATGTGTCAAAAGGATTTTGTGGTTCCTGGTGTTTTTTAACAATTGGTTTTCTGCCCTAATGACTGGCTGGGTAGGTGTGGCTGGGGGGGGTCATGTGACTGGTGGAAGTGAGTGAGTTGAGTTGGCCACGCCCACCCAGGTTTTTTCTGTGGGAAGGGTCCAAATGGCTCTTTGAGTATTTAAGGTTGCAGACCCCTGCTCTAGATGTTCTCCAGGGTTTCTTCCAACCCTTTGATCCACTGGGTGTATCCTGTGACCTCCAGGTCCCAGAGATGTTGCAGTGCTTTTCTTGGCTTCAGTCCTCTTCCTTTGCCTGTTTTGGGACTTTTTTCTGTTACTTCTCTCAGTCTTTCAGTGCCTTTCAGGGAAACTGGGCCTGCCCATGTCCTGACAAGATACAGGTAGCGCTCGACTTACAGCAGTTTGTTTAATGACTGTTCAAAGTTACCGTGGCACTGAAAAAAGTGACATTGCCATTTTTCATACAACTATTGCATCATCCCGAGGGTCATGCGATCAAAATTCAGACACTTGGCAACTGACTCGTATTTATGACCGTTGCAATCCTGGGATCACGTGAATGGGAAAGCCAGATTCACTTAACCGTGTTACTAACTTAACAACTGCCATGATTCACTTAAGAACTGTGGCGAGAAACATTGTAAAATGGGGCAAAACTCACTTAACAAATGTCACGCTTTGCAAAACAAATTTTGCGCTTCATTGCGATCGTAAGGGGAGGACTTCCTGTAGTAGAGGGGGTGTTTGGTTAATGACCCATTCAGTGACTGTTCTGAACAAGCGGTAGTTGGAGCTCTGGCCACCATCACAGGGTCATCCTTTGTGGTCTGTGCTAGCCTTCAGTGAGCAGAATCCTTGGGGGGTGTCTGGAGGTTGGAATTGCTCTGGCTGGGTGGTGGGGTCACCTGAGGTCACGCTTTATGGCTGTCACATCCTGGTCCCAATTGCCATTGTTAACTGAGGACTACCTGAAAAGGCCCCAGTGCCAGGTGCTGAATTCTGACAGGAGCTGGGCGAGACCGACTCCTGGTCGGGCACAAAGGACATCTCCCTCTTTGCTGTCTGCGCAGGTGTCGAAGACGCTTTCAGCTTCACCTCCAAAGTTATGACGGTATCCCTGCACAAGTTTGCTCCTGGATTTTTCCCAGGCAAGTGATTTCTTTACCACGTTGGATTCTGCCTTGCGGGAGGATCCCTCCTGCTCTGCTTCTTTATGGGTAAAAGATGGAAGGGTGACCCAGCCTTGCATTTCTATGTGCTGACCTGAGCCTTTCTGCCTACTCAGGAACAGGAGATGTGACAGAGGTGGGCTTGGGGAAGGGGCGCTACTACAGCGTAAATGTACCCCTTCAGGATGGCATCAGGAACGAGACGTACTATCAGATCTGCGAGACGTAAGCACCTGTTCATCCGGGCCCCTCTGCTCAGGAGGAAGAGTTCCTTCTGTCTGGGCTTCCCTGCCCCGTGGGAGGAAAGAGCCGAAAGGCTGAATGGGCCCTTCCCTACCCCAGAATCCAAGCTGCTGATTCGGCTTGGCTTGCCTGCTCAGAGTCAGGAGAAATTGGGGGGAGGGGGGCTTTCCCCTGGCAGCTTTGTCTCGTCCTCTTTTGGAGTGGTCCCACTTGGCAGCCCACAGTGGAATTTAATTTTCTCAGAATTGCTAGCATGTTTAGTGCCGTTTCTTAAGGAGTATCCCAGAGCGGTAGCTATTCTAGAATCTTTGCCTGCCCCTACGTTTGTCCTTCCCGGGCTTTGCCCTCCCCCCCCCCCCCAGGGGGGCAAAAGACCCTCGAGAGGAGTCCACAGGGAGGGATGGCTGACCCTCAGCAGGGGAGAGATGGGTCCAGCAGTTTCCCTCCGTTTCATTCTGCAGGGTGCTAAAGGATGTGCATGCCGCCTTCCACCCTGAAGCTGTAGTCCTGCAGTTGGGAGCAGATACAATTGCGGGGGACCCCATGTGTGCATTCAACCTGACCCCAGAGGGGATCGGCAAGTGCCTGAATTATGTGCTGCAATGGCAGCTGCCGACCCTTATTCTGGGGGGAGGTAAGCAAGCGAGAATGCAAGTGTGGCATCAGGCACGCAGGTGCAGGGAAATGTAGATCGGGGACGGAGCCCCAAAGGTCGGCTGTGCTGATCACGGTCTAGTAGTGGGAGGTGCTTCAATTTAGGGGCAGCCTGGAATCTTGATTTTTTTTAAAGTCAAATCCTTAAGATTCCATAGCGTTAAAAATGAAATGGCCTCAGCACAACGTTCTACATCAACTACAGTGTTTCTTGCTGGGTCAGTGAAGTGGCTTCCATCAATTCTGCAAGCCCACCGTTTGCATCACTGAGCCAGTCGGCTTCTGCAGCTGCGCGACGCTTCGTGCTCTTCTAACTGGGACTAGAATGGCTGTGGTGGGCAAGTGCTTTTCACTTTCTTTTCTCTTTGCCCTCTTCCTTATGTGGTGTGGTGTCTCGTTCCCTCCTGGAGACAGGAGGCTATCACCTTGCTAACACTGCCCGCTGCTGGACATACCTGACTGGAGTCATTCTGGGGAAAACGTTGCCCTCTGAAATTCCCGATCACGAGGTAAGGCTCAAGCCCCCCTTCCCTGCCCCAAGCACAGGAAAAGGGCTTCTCTTAGTCATGGACTCCCTGTGAAAATAACCTCTGTTTTATTTACCTTGGGTAGCCGAGAATGCTTGAGACACTGCAATACACACATGATGATATACGTTTGAAGGAGCTCACCGCTGCTCAAGGCAGAGGCTGGGAATGCAGGGACAAAGCGGGTGGCTGGCCCAGGGCAGCCAGGCACACACAGGCCACCCCAGGCTGGCTCCTGAGAAAAGGCCTTCCTCTCCAGTGCTTGTTGGGATGCAGGTGGGGGAAGGGGGCGCCAGGGTTCCTCCCCTTTTTCCTTCCACCTGACCTTCCCTCTCGGGCAGTTCTTCACGGAATACGGTCCTGACTACGTGCTGGAAATCACTCCAAGCTGCCGGCCAGACCGGAACGAGCCTCAGCGCATCCAGGAGCTCCTTGGCTGTGTGAAAGGTGGGCCCCCTCTTGCTCCAGTCTGGAGGCTGATCGGAGGGTGGGACCCGAGGGCTCCAGCAGGAGACAGACTTGGCATGTTCTCTCTTTGCAGGACACCTGAAACATGTGACTTAGTGGGAAAGAGGGCTCCCTTCTCTCCAGAGCCACTGCACCAGGGAGCAGCTGTCGAAGAGTCTGCAAAGAAACTGCACGGAAATGCGAGTCTTTCAGGCTGCGGTCCGGGAGTTGTTTGTGCAGCTTGGAGCAACAGGGTGTTAAAGGAAACCTCCCCCACTCCCCCAGCCTGGACTTCCAGCCTCGTCCCTTGCAGAGGCAGCTCATTCTGGAAGGAGTGGAAGGCCCCAGCCCTGGGCCTCTTGGACTGGCAGGAGCACAGCAAGATGAGCCCCCTTTGTTGGTCTTTTTTTAAACAGCTGTTTGCCTTGAAATAAAAAACTGGATGACTTTGCCTCTTCTCCTGGTGTGTGTTCCTTACATTCTCCTTGGACTAACAGCTGTCAATAGCGTTTTCCATCTTGTGGCAATGAGTCCCACCGGTTTCTTTAGTGAGCCTCAAGATTGCACTTGATGGGAGTGACAAGGAGGAAAATGCTCCCCCACCTGGTGACTTCATAAAATCCAAGGCATCTCCCCCTTGCTTTGCTTCTCCATTTCCCAGTGAAGCATCCTCCAGCATTGCCAGCACCCGGCTTGCAGGTTCCCTGGGTGGCCCTTTGGGCTCTGCAGTCAGCTGCCCCCCTCCCCCATTCCTGGCAGTAGTGGCCCCGGGCGGGAGATGCCGCAGACGGGAATTCCAGATGTGGCTTGTCAATAGTGGCCGCAAAGAGTCCCCTTCTCCAATTGCATTGCGCATGTGTGCTCTGACTTTGGAGGCCGTGTGGCGCTGTGCTGCGTGGGCGGGTGGAGGTCATGGAAAGCATCTTCTCTCGGAGTAAGAACCCTCGTGGCCGCTTGGGGGAGCTGGTCGCTGTCGCCTCTGAGACTTTCTGGACGCGCGGAGCCGCCGTACTTCAGCCCGGATATCCGGCCGGGGGTGGAAGCTGCGGCCTTTTCTCGGCGGAACGCGGCCATGGTGAGTACGCGGCTCTCGGCTCGCACCTCCCGGAATCCCTCGCCATCCGTCGGCCTACTCTGAGCGGAGCGCCCCGGTTGGAGGCAGGAGGACCGGCAGCCCGGCAGGGCACCACGCGGCCGCTGTTTGGCAGCAAGAGCCCTTCCCGGTCCCAAGGAAGGCCGGCTTCGGAAGAAGCGAACGGAGGGGCCGGGTCGCTCTCGCAGTCGGTCTGCTCCAGGCCAGGAATCCGAGCCGGGCCGCCGCAGCTCCGTTGAAGGGCGGCTGCGTTCCGGGGCCCGAAGCATCTGGAAGGGGCTCGCTTGCCTTACCCGACCATCTCTAACTGCTGCTTTGCGTGGTTCTTGCAGGCTCGTGGACCCAAGAAGCACCTGAAGCGGGTGGCCGCTCCGAAGCACTGGATGCTGGACAAGCTGACGGGAGTCTTTGTAAGCTGGACCCTTCAAGCACGGGGGGGGGGGGGGGGGGGGGTGGGCGATAGTTCCCTGTAAGGTGGCCTGAAGGGGCTGCTGGCGCGGCTTCCGCTCTTGGGCTTTGAGCGATTTGCAGAGATGCGGTTGTGGTAGAGGCCTTCCACTACAGTCATCCTCCTTGCATTCTTGCTCCAAATCACAACTTCAGTGCGTTGTTGTTTAAAATAACGCTGCAATTTATGAGCGTGGCATATACTGAATGGAGGAGGAAAGGAGCCTGCTTGTGTGTTAGGCTTTTCCCACAAAAGCTGCCTGCGATTGAGCTTGTGAGCATCCCTGCCATGTGGATGCCTTGTCCTCTTTGCTGTGTGCTGAAGGGGGAATGGCAATAAAAACTCATTGTTGAGTGCAATTATAGCTCTGGGACAAAAACTATTCAGAAAACTATTCAATTGTTCTGTATCTTCTGCCAGAAGGCAACAGTCCAAAAAAGATGGTAAGCAGGATGGGAAGAGTCTCTGAGAATGTTATGCAACTTTCTCAAACAGCGAGATTCGAAGATGTCATCCGGGGCTGGTAGCTGAGCCCGGTGATATTCTGGGCAGTTTTAATGATTCTCTGTAGAGCTTTTTTATCCGCTACAGAGCTGCTCCCATACCATGCAAGAATGCTATATGTCAGGACACTCAATGGTGCTGCGATAGTAGGACAGAAGTAGATGCTGAGATAGATTTATCTTCCTGAGCATTCTCAGGAAGTACAGCCTCTTCTGTATAATGTGATGACCAGAAGGGCTAGGAATAGCAACACCCACGTGGGGGAGGAAGCGCACTGGGAGATACTGGCTCAGCCCCTTGCCCTTCTGGGAGAGACTAAAATATTTATTTATTTATTTATTTATTTTTAAAAATTTTATACCGCCCCCTCTCCCAAAGGACTCAGGGCGGTGAACAGCCAAAATTAAAAAACATACAATATAAACATTAAAATACTATAAAAACAAAATTAAATTTATCTTTGGCTTCCCCAATTAAGCAGAGAGTGCAGACAAAACCATTAATGAGTGCTGTCTCTTAATATCTTTGAGTGAGGGAAAGTTGGGCTACAGTTCAGCTAAATAAATGGTGGCCGGTTTCATGGCTCATTCCTGCGTTCTCGAAATGGCTTTGCGGGAATATTGTGGCTCGTGTGTGACTTTCCACTTTCTTTGTATTTACAGGCACCCCGTCCATCGACAGGACCCCACAAACTGAGGGAATGCCTCCCACTTATCATTTTTCTCAGGAATAGGCTTAAGTACGCCCTGACTGGTGATGAGGTCAAGAAAATCTGCATGCAGCGGTTTATCAAGATTGATGGCAAAATCCGCACAGATATTACCTATCCGGCTGGATTCATGGGTTAGTGAAAGTTAGTTCGTGCTGGGCTGGGGAGGGCAATCTGTAGATTAGAAGAGGGAGAAGTGTCCTTTTGATATTTCCTTAAGCTTGCTGCTCATCCAGGAAACGTAGTTCTGTTGTTTAGTTCTAATAAAATGCTTTGAAAGAGTCCATTCCACAAATAATGTATCCAACATTAAGTAACAGAGCTCACCTTCTCCAGCCTAGGGTATCCTCAGTTGTTAGATGTCAGCTTCCATAAACTAGGCCAGTTTCTGGGTAAGTGGTTATGGAAACCAGCCTGGCCCATCTCCATTATGCAATAGGCCTCACTTGCTTCCAGTTTTCCCCATGTGGCATCTGACTTGCTTTGGCCTCTTTCCCTGGGTAGTTTTCTGTACAGCCTTTTGTCTTTGAGCTATGCCACGTTTCACTCTTTAGATCTCAGAAGAATCAAAACCTCTTCTGAGATCTGAAGAAGCAACACATCAAAAGACAAAACCATGCAGTGGCAAAGCCATGTCCTTTCTCTTTTGGAAACCAAGGACGTGTCCCAATGCCTTTGTTTTTGGCTGATTCCTTATCAGATGTGATCAGCATTGAAAAAACAGCTGAGCACTTCCGCCTCGTGTACGATACCAAGGGACGCTTTGCCGTTCACCGCATCACGCCAGAAGAAGCCAAGGTAAGCCTGCTAGCCAACCAGTATTGGAAAGACGGAATTGTATTCCTTGACTAAGAAACTGAATGAATATCGATCAGAATAAACGTGCTCTGAAACTGGGACGTTGTTGCTCCTGAACATTTGTCCTGATGTCTTTTGTTGTTGCCTTATTTAAGTCCTGTTTTTGGAGGGTGGTGACTAAAATTGATCTCTGAACATTCTGAGTAGCAGATGGGTGGGGAAAATTCCTTCATTTCCTGGAGTGCATCTTGCCGGGTTCCTGCTCTGAATGCTGAGAGGATCTGGGGTGGGACCGTCCTCAGGAACGGTTTTTGGTTTTTCATGCTAGGCCTTGAGTCCCAGGATAGGCCGAGGTAATACAATTTGGAGGGTTGTGCTAATGCAGTCATATCTGGCGCAAACCTTGTTCCTTGGACCTGCTCCCAGGCCCAAAGGATTAGCGGAAGCTCCTTGATCCTCTTCAGATCCTCCTCCAATTCTAGCCTGCTGCCTGAAGGAAAGGGATTGGGAGAGTGGCCTGAAGCATCTGGTGGGCTCCCTGCTCTAAGCAGCAGGGTCTACTTCCCGGCCTAACACTAGCTGGCCAGCAGATCAACAGTAGGGGAAGACTTGTCTGCTGTCCTTTTAAAAGCTTTATAATGGCAGAAGCCCCTTCTGGCCCAAGTAATTCTCTCTGTTGGTTGTCTTCCCAGTACAAGCTGTGCAAGGTTAGAAAGATCTTTGTGGGCACCAAAGGAATTCCTCACCTTGTCACTCATGATGCCCGAACAATCCGGTACCCAGATCCCCTCATCAAAGTGAATGACACTATCCAGATTGATTTGGAGACAGGCAAGATTACAGATTTCATCAAGTTTGACACAGGTTTGTTTTAAGTGACTTAACTGTGGGGGGTGGCCAGACTCCTGTGGGTCTGTTTTTTAGGGGTTGTGGTTTGTGTCTTGAGGTGTCTGCCATGGAGAGCAAAACACCTGCTCTTTAGACGTGGGCAAACCATAGTTTTTGTGGGATAGTGTCTGTGTTCATGAAAGCCATTCTGTGGGGCCAAGAGTTAGCCTTTGGTTAGAGAACGGGGATGATCTAATGGGCAACTTCTTCCTTTTCCACCTGCAGGCAACTTGTGCATGGTGACTGGAGGAGCTAACTTGGGGCGTATTGGTGTAATCACCAACCGGGAGAGGCATCCTGGTTCATTTGATGTGGTTCATGTTAAGGATGCTAATGGCAATAGCTTTGCCACCAGACTGTCTAACATCTTTGTGATTGGAAAGGTAAGCTGCTGGCAGCGGTTCTGCAGTGCATGATAGAGAATTGGCCAGGCGCTTCTCACAACCTCCTTTGAGGAGCAAAGACATGAACAAGGAGAGCCATTGTCGGCCCTCCTGACTTGCGGGGAAGGGGCCTGGATCTGTCATCCACCTTCCCTCCTGGTTGAGCAGTTATGGTGTTGGTTTCTACCTGCCAAGAGGGAACTTGTGCAAAAGGATGCATTCTTAAATCATACCATCATAATTTTATGATTTCCGAATTTTATTGATAAAATTCTTAATCAGTTCAGAAATCATAAAACTATTCAGTATATCTTTGAAAATGAAAGCCTAAATACCCTGAATATTTCAAATGTCCTTGAAGAAAGATTGCTTGAATCTTTTTGCGATGGGAGCAAGAACTGTTTTTTAAAAAATGAGTTGGAGCACAAGTGTTCACAGATGGGAACATTAATGGTAAATAACTACTAGGGTTAGATTTTGATCTTGAACTAGTATTAGTCTAGTCCATCTGGTGCAGGGTGGATAAAAATCAATGACTTTTAAAAAAAATCAAAAAAATCAGATTTTTTTTATTTAAATTGGATTTTTTTTATTTTTATCGAATTTATTTTAATAAAAAACTTTTGGGGTAAAAATCTATCGTAAGATAGTTTTCTATTTAAGATACATAAATAATTTAGTTTATTCAGCATGAAATGGAGCTTAGTTATGTAGCATGAGGCTGTATATTCTGCAACACTGGGACTATCGGTGAGTCAACAGTGGGTCAAAGGAGTAGCAGAGATGACAGTTGCTCTTTAAAAATTATGATTTAAATCGAGTTGATTTAAATCAAGCCTTTTTACTAGTGATTTAAATCATGATTTAAATTGTGATTTAAATCTACTCGATTTAAATCAAATCCACCCTGATCTGGTGAGAATTGTCAGTTTGATTTTTTTTTTTTCCTATCAATAATTTGCTTTCTCAGTTTGTTAGATTGTATCCCTCAAAATTCAGTTCTATTTGTTTATTAAGGATGCTTAGACTGAGGAGCACCGAAAGCCTCCTCTTCTGATCTGATCCATGCTGATCTGGCTATTGGGGGGGAGGGAATGGTCCAGTGGCTTTACAGAGATAATCTTGCAGAGCTGGAAGTGGATCATGGCATTCTGGAATGTCTAGAATCCCTTCAGTTGGGCCCAACACTACTGACCACCTCTCAAGCAACCAGATCGTTATGGTTCGGAAGAAAGATAGGATGTTTTGCTTCTAGCATTCCCAGGAATGGCGGGGCAACGTATTTCCCCCTAACGTGTTTCCCTTTCGAACTTCAGGGTAACAAGCCTTGGATCTCTCTGCCTCGTGGAAAGGGAATCCGCCTGACTATTGCTGAAGAGAGAGACAAGAGGCTAGCAGCTAAACAGAGCAGTGGTTGAGCCCCTGAGGTGCTGTGCAAAGCCCGACCAGATTGATTTCCGGTTTGATAAATAAACCTTTTCCATACTTCTCTCTGGGCTTCTCTCTCCTTGTCTGCCTTGGCTCTCCTAGAGCCTTTCTGTGTTCTACGGTAGACAATATGACGACATGGGGAGCAGGGAATTTCACGAGGCTTCCGTCCTCAGGGTGCCTTCTGCTGTTCTCATTTCTCTTGGGTTAGTGGCCAATTCTGGCAGAGGTGAGTTTTCAGTTAAATATTTCTGTCCTTGTGGGGGAATTACCCCACCTGGGGCATTTTGTTCCTATGCCACAAGAGACAGAGGACTCTTAAGCCACCATCTGTTTTCTCTGTTCATGAAAGAAACAGCCAGATGCGTCAGGAAGGTCAGTCTGTAGAGTTTATGAACACGTGTATATGCATGTGAAGGGAATATTCCGAAAGCATTGGAGAAATGAGGAAAAGGAGGAGGCACTTATTGAAGAGATTGCAGTTGGTTACATAGGATTTTATCCTTAGCAAGTCTTGCACGTTTACTGGGTCAGCTCTTTCTGGCAGTTTTTTATAAAATCTTTTTACAAAAGGGATCTTGGTTCAGGCCGCACAAGGATTTGAATCTGGGAATAGAGGAACTAGACTGGCCCTGCATTGCAAAAACCTCTGAGCTGAGATCTTTGGGGGCTGTAGATGATTGCTTGGGAAGGTTTGACCAGAATATCTTGCCTTCACTGATTTCCAGGGTTAGCAGGGCTGGCCTCAGCCCCTTACGTTCGCTTTGGTTTGCATCCGGTGCTCCCCTTGCCATGTTCCAGATCTAGACTTTGCAGTAAACGGCCGACCTCTGTGTGCTCAGAGTCTTCCGAACGTAACAGGTGCTCTGAATCCTTGGAAGCCAAGCTGCCGGAGTCGCTTCCACCAAAGTCGCTGTCATCTGAAAATGGCAACACCAGAAGCTTGGTTTGTGACTGGCAGCTAAGTGCCCCACCTGAACCCTCCATGGGTGGGAGGGGCCAAGCACTGTGTGTTGGATCAAAAGAGCATCAGCGGGTCAGTCAATGTTCTCTAGGGGATGGGGGACCTGTTGAAGCCAGCAGTAGCAACCTGGACCAGGTAAGGACGGGATAATTTGCAGCGGAAGGCCAAATTGAGGGAAGGGGCTGGCAAGGAAAAGGTGTCAGAGGCTGCAAAGGTAACGGGAAACAGCAGGTTCTCAGGCAACTGAATGTCTGAGTTGGCAACAAAGGGTTCTGTTGTTACCAAGTGATTCTTGCAGCCCAACCTTGAATTAACAAATGACCCTCCCGGGCTAACTCAAAATGCTGTTAGTGCTCACTGGCTCTGCTTAGTTCTTGGGTGGATAGGAGCCCACTAGAGTTGTAGGCCAGACTGAGGGCTCCAAGCAAGCCCCAGAAGAAATAGCAAGGTGCTTCATGCTGCTGCCGCCAAGGGAAGCCTGGCAGTGCCCCTATTGCCAGAGGAAAGGGGGGGGGGGGCTTCTCTGAGGCCTCCTTAGTGGATCAAGCAAGCGGAGCTGAAGTGAGCCATAGAAGCTGTGGGACAGAGGAGCCTCACCCATGTGCTTCTGCAGGCTCCCAGCAGCTGAAGAGGACTTGCTGTCTTGCATGGCCCATTCAAGCGTGTCCACCGCATCGGCCAGGGCGGCCTCCTCCGAGTCCTCAAAGTCCCGGGGCTCCCAGTTGTCCTCGGAAGCTGTGAGGAGGAAAGAGAAATGGGCTGGGCTGGGCTGGGCCGGGACAGGTCCTTCCTTCTCCGGAGCCTTTTCCAGCCCAGAGCCTGGCTCTCTTTAAGAAAGACTTGGCTTTTGGCAGCATGCTGGGTTCAAAGAGCAAAGGAAGAAGGGTTCCTGAAGCCTGATCCAGCCCCTTCCTGCACGGGGAGGCCTGGTCCTGTAAAAGAGGCACCGGGCTCAACATGCTCCTGCTTGCCCCTTTGCGTGGGGGGGAGGGGGGCTGGAGGGGAGAAAGGAGGCTGGCATCATCTGCGGGCAGCACCTTCTCAAGGATGCCAAACAACAGCCTTTGGTCTCCCACGTTATTGACAAGCTAGCTAGGGCTGTTGGGGTAGAGGGACTTTCTATCCTCACGGTTTACTCCAGACTGCACTAAACTGCCAGGTTCACCGGAGGTTTTATGAGTTCTCCCACGCACGAGGGCATTTCAGCTTCACTGTTGTACTGAGCTTAGCAACAGAGAGCACGCAGACTCGCTTTACTGCAAACTAGGCAGGCGGGCCGTGCTAGTCTTAGGGTGGCAAAGGAATCTGGGAACACTTATAAGGCGGGAGCCTTTGCGTCTGACAAAATGGGCTTACAGGTTTCAGTTGCCTCGGTGTTGACGGGGAAATCTGCATCTGAGCTGCTGCCGACGGAAGAAGTGCTTGTTTCTTCAAAGTCGGCCGAGTATTGCGAAGCGCTGCTGCAGACACTCAGGCTGTCTGCGAGGTTCCAGCCGTGCTGCAGAGAGGGGAGCCAGGCAGAGCCGGGTGCCTCGGTTGCACCGCTCGGGGAGCCCCGGGCGCCCTCTGTGCCAGCCTTGGGCAGACTGGGCTTAGCCCCCTCTCCTTTGGGAGGGGCTTCTGGCTGCAGCTGGCTGGGTAGCCGAGGCTCCCGGTGGAGGAAGTAAAGGCTGAGGTGCTGCTGGACGTAGGGGAAGGTGAGGATGGTGCTGGCACTGGGCCGGACTTCGGGGTCCTTCTGCAGGATGCTCTGGATGAGGCCGTGCAGGGGGGCCGGGTAGCTGGCCGGGACAGGGCTGGGGCTGGAGTTCACAATCTTATGGAACAGGCTGATCATGCTGAAGGCCTGGAAGGGCGGCTGCAGGGCACACATCTCGAAGAGGACACAGCCCAGGGCCCAGATGTCCGCCTTGGAACTGTAGGGCAGGTCCCTGCAGAGCTCGGGGCTGAGGTAATAGGGTGTGCCCACAAAGGTGCTGGCTAGTTCCAGGGTGCCGTCCATCACCTTGGAGATGCCAAAATCCCCCAGCTTCAGAACGCAGGTCTGGGTGAGGAAGACGTTGGAGGCTTTGATGTCCCTGTGCAAGATCCTCAGGGCGTGGATGTACTGCACCGCCAGGGCCAGCTGCACGAACCACCGCATGATGACACTCTCCGGGAAGGGCCCCCCTTTCTGGATATGCTGGTCGAGGGAGCCCCCGTCGCAATACTCCTGCACGATGAAAACATGCGCCTCCTCTGTGTCCAGGAAATGGCCGTGGCAGGCCACCACGTGGGGGTGCTGCAGCTGCCGCAGAATGGCCACTTCCTGCAGGATGGCCTCCTTACTGCGCAGCCGCTTCCCGGGCACCGTCTTGACCTTCTTGACGGCAAAGAGCTGCTTTGTGCTGGCATTCCTCATCAGGAAGACCTCGGCGCTGGAGCCCTGGCCGATGCTGAAGATGGGCTCATACTGCTCCATGCTGCCCCACCGAGGCCCCTCTGCCCGTGACCACCGGGCCGACCCCTCCCTTTACCCATGGCCGGAGGAAGAGAGGGCCAGGAGCAGGGGATACTCAGCCACCAGCCTGGCCTTGGCTTCCAGGGCATGGCTGAAGTCAGGCCAGAGTGGCAGGGGAGCCTGCATCATAAGAATGACTATGACACCGCCACCCTCCCAAGCTGGTTCAACTGCAAGGCATGGGAGGGGGAGGGGGCTGAGGAGGACCCGATCTTTCTGTGCAGCTGCCAAGTGAATCCCCTTCTGATGTGCAGGAGAGGGATAGCAGCAGCCCAGGGCAGAAGCAGCAAGTTTGAGGGTCACAAGTATCAGGCATGTGCTTTCTGTAGCCCCCTCCTCCCTCACAACCCCCAAAGAGCACCCTGGCAACATCTTCCCCATTGTCACCGTATCCCCAGCGGGGGCCATCACTTCCTCCCAACCCCTTATTGAGAAGATGGAGTCTCCACAGCTGTTCTGCTGTGAAAAATTGGGCACCCCCAACCCTGTCCCTGGCTTGGTCATCCATCAGCCAGGTGGCCAAGAACCAAAGCTGGACAGGTGCTTCTCTCAATGGGGACAGTGGTTTTGGGCCACCGTTGTCACCCGCTAATGGCACGCTGCTGGGACCACCCACTGAGTGACCGGAGTCGATCCCCTGCTCCCTAGAGAGTCATGCAGATGTCTGCTCCCCCCCCCCCCCGGCTTCATGCTCAGAGCCCAGGAGCTGGACACTGCTTTCTTCCAGGGGGCACTGCTGCCTGCTTGCCACATGAGGGAACTCTTTCCCTGCAAACCAGGTTGCAGCCCAGGAGGAGGGTTTCCAGATGCTCCCTGGTATCCCCGCCCCCTCCCAGCCAAGGAGTTGGGGCACATTCTGTTCACTCCCAGTGCTGCCTGCAGATTTGGGAAGGCAGCTGAGCTCCTCCCAGCCGGCAGGACGACTCCGGAGACTGCAAGACGCAGACCTGGGAGGCCAGAAACATTCAGAAAAGTCTCATCCTTCTGCCCATGGCCTCTGGTGGATGAGGACGGGGGTGCTGGTCATGTTCAGTACTGTATACATGGGGAAGGGTCTTTGGAGGGAGCTGTTGTGGCAATTCAGAACATCATATGCCCCCAAAGAGGAGTTTCAAATGAAAGTCAGGGACTGAACTCATCTCAGTAACGTACCCGAAGTGTCCAGTGGGCAGACGGCAGGGGTGAAATCCAGCAGGTTCTGACAGATTCTGGAGAACCAGTAGTGGAAATTTTGAGTAGTTTGGAGAACTGGCTGGCCGGAGAGAGGGGTGGGAATGGAGATTTTGCAATATCCTTCCCCCAGGAGTGGGGAGGGAATGGAGATTTTGCAGTATCCTTCCCCTGTCATGCCCACCAAGACACACCCACAGAACCGGTAGTAAACAAATTTGGATTTCACCGCTGGCACACGGTGCTCCTTACAGGTGGTCTAAGAACCTCAGAGCAAACTCAGACCAAATTCTGAATTGTGGCTGTTTGATACCAGTTGCTTCTCAAACCCAGCACTCTCTGGGATGCAAGAGGGCAAGACTGCTCATTTCTTAGCATCTTCCCCACGGCACAAGAAGAGCTCCGCATCTGCGGGGACAGAGGGCAGTTCTTGACTCTCATCAACGGACCTTGGGCCCCTTGGCCTTTCACCCTCATGGGCACTTTCTGAAATGGGGCTGGAGGCTTGCGTGGCACGTCCAGGGCTGCAGGAGATTTAGGAGTGCCTTAAGCCTCAGGGACCACCCCACCCCACCCCCCCCCCGCTTGGAAGTTATGATAGAGCCGCAAAGGGGATGCTGGTGCACCGCAAATGCACCTCTGGAAGAGATGGGGGAAAGGTGAGGGGAGACAACATCTACTGTTGCTCTGCCTCCAGGAAGGGGCTCAGCCATGAGACAGGCCCCATTTTGCCCCTCCCTGGAAAGAGATGGTGGCCAGAAACAGGTGCTGTCCCCACACCCTTTTCTCTCCAAGTGGAAACCTGCAGCTTTGGCAGTCCTCGAGGGAGCTATCAAACTCTTCGCATGGATCGGATTAAAAAATAACCGTGATTTAAGGCACATCCAGGGAAGGTGAGGCTATCAGAACGCTGGTCTGAGAGGGGCTACACTGCAAGGCCTCCCTTCCCTCTCATCCAGAGGTAGGGTACGAGTCCTTTTTCTGCAGAAGGGGCGCAGGCAACAGCCCAGAGCCCCTAGCCTGCCTCGGCTGGCGTTTCTTCCCTGCTACGCCACTTCCTCCAGCTCTGGTACTTTCAGGATTCTCCAAGGCTTCGGGTGGGGGGGGGCACAGAGAGGCGTGACCACACTGACGTCAGGGAAAGCAGAAATAGGGGAAGTGGAAGGCGGGAGAGTTGGGCATCTCAGCAAAGAACAAAACAAATTGACGACAACACAGAAAAATGTTCTCAGTTCCACGCTGTTATGTAAGAAGACTCTGGAGGCAGGCGGGGCAGCGGGGGGAATGTGGAGCACCCTCCCAAGGTCCAGGCTTGCAGCCTTGGCTTGTCTCACAGACCACGTCCCATTTCAGGAGGTTACATAACAGCCCCCTGCATTCTGCCCGCCTTGCGGTTTGAAAATCAGCCTTGGGAAGCCATTCTGGGTCAAATTCCCTGTCTTGGCATAAAGCGTGGCTTTGCAAGAGCTCTGTTCCCATCTGAGAGGGTTGGCAGGGGAATGGCAGCCCCTGGTGGGTCTTCCTCAGCATCGTCTCCCTGAATCTGAGACCAGGTTAAGCAGACGCAGATTTCTGCACCTTCCTCAGGTAACACTGACACGTCCATTAGCTCAGAATGCCAGGCCACTATGGCAGAGGTCTTCAAACTTGGCAGCTTTAAGATTTGTGGACTTCAAGTCTTAAAGCTGCCAAGTTTGGGGACCCCTGCACTATGGGCTTCAGCCATGAGGCTCCCTGCCTGTCTTGGATCCCGGCGCCAGGCACATATAGCATACCTGTCAGGATTGTTGTCAGGCAGTCCTCAAGGAAAAGGCCAGGCTGTGAATGAGCGAGCCTCACAGGGCATCTGCCAAGCCCAATTAGGCCTCAAGGCTGGTCCACCAGAAACACCAGAAAAGGGTTTTTCCTTCTCTCCTACATTATCGGCATGGAGGTGGCTTTGACATGGTCCTTCCAACTGCAGCCAGAAGGCAGGGGGAAGAGAGGACACACACACAGCTGCAGCTTTCCCCACCCTCTCCATAGGTCCAGAGCAGCCTCAGTGGCTACAGACAGTGAAGAGGAGAAAAGAAGCCTCTGAAATTGCATGGCCTGCCACCTGCCACCCTTCCCCGGCATTCTGCAGAAAGTGGCTGCTCCTCTGTGTGCAGGGTTGGGTGACCAGGGACCAGCATCCAAACAGCCTTGCCGGCCCCTTGTAGCCTCCTTCCGGGGCCTTTGGGCAACCTGTGGCTCTAGTGGGTGTTTGAAGTGACCCAAATTTAATTCGCACCTGGCACAGTGGCAATCCGCGCGGGCACCTTGGGGTTTTGAGGGGACAGAGGGAGTCGCGTGCCTGCCTTGGCTGGGCTCGGAGAGTCTGTAGGCTGGGGAGCGCCTGCCCCGCCCCTGGGCGCCATCCAGAGGCTGCTGCAATCCTGGCACGGAGCTGCTTCCAAGCAGCCGTTATGCAACCCGTCCCTTATTAGCATGGAGGACTTCTTGTTCTCAGCTTCTGCTGGCAAGTCCTTTGTTTTGGTGCTGCTTCTGCTGCTCAGCAAAAGGGCAAAGAAGTGGTGCTGAAGGGCGCTTGCTCAGTGAGGGGGGCAGGATACAAATGTGTCCCCCCCAGAACAGTCACCAAACAGCCCCTTTTTCCACCCAGGAAGGCCCCAGAGTGGACACCGCTTGCCCTCGGCTGCAGCGGCACCAGTCAGAGAAGTCACCACCTGGGCACCAGCAACTGCACCTGGCTCCACGTGGCCCACTTGGTAAAAACAATCTAGCCCCATAGAAAGAACCCCCCCCCATTTCCTGTGACCTCCCTTTTCACAGGCAAAACAGACTTTCACTTTTGGGACTTTAAACCTGATCGTCTTTAATTAACAATTGAGACTCTGTTACTGCTAAGAAAGAGGTCATAATTTAGACTCTTTGTGCCAATCCTGCCTTTTGTCACCTTGCCAGATGGAATAACTTACATAAGTTATGATGTGTCGGATCTGCAAATAAACAGAATGAGAAGAGGGTATTTACTCAGCCTCGATCTGCAAACTTCAAAATGGATTGACAAAGATTGCAGGAGCACAGGTCTCAGAGAGCCAAGGGGAAGAGGCATGTATTGGCAGATGTTTCTCCCACAGCTCTCCATGCCCAGACGCTCAAAGTCCCTGCACCATCAGAGAAGTTACAGACCATATTGAAGAAGGAAAACTGAAGTCACCTGAAGAATCAGAAGTCCAGCCCTCAAATGCCCCCAGAGAGAAAGAGAGAGGGATTTCCCCCCCCCACACACTGAATCTACAGCTCTGCATGGGAAGACAGGTGTGCAGGAGCCTCTGGGCTTTGGCAGCCGGAGGGCAACTGGGCTCCCCAGGTCAACATCGAAGGCAAGGGCCACTTACTGCCAGGCCTGGAGGCCCTGCTGGCCTGGAGAATGGGCCAGGCAGACCAGCTTCTGTACCTTGTGCTGCTGACAGACGGGCAGGCAGCTGAAGGGCAAGGTGGGCAAAGAGGCAGGGCCGAAGCTTCTGGCCTTTTATCCCTGGGTGCCAGCTGGAGGCCCTCAGGCCCCTCCAGAATAATCCCTGGTTATAATGCTGCCTCTGCCCATTCTCCCTTCTGGGAGGCCTGCAGTTGTTGCCCCTTACCTCCTCCTCAGCTGCCATCTTGGGGGGGGCTCCCCCCCATTGATAGCCCCATGCCAAAAGCTCTCTTGGCACCACCAGGAGGTCGACTCTGCCCTAGACTCAGATCTCGGTTGCTTCTGGTAAAGGAACATCATCTCTGGGAAAGAATTTGCCCACCCTCTTGGTGATTAAACTTTCAGGAGGCCCCCCCCCATCCCCGGGAGTGAAAGAGACCAAGTGCCCTATAGCTGGGGACTTTCCTTGGCAGAGGCAGAGGGAGAGGGCCCGAAACCAAGCAATCCGGACGGTTTCCTCTCTGCCTGACAGTCTGTTCGTTCATTCCTCATGGATGAGATTTCTCAGCGTAAGAGACCTCATAGCACCCTTCTGAAGCACCTGGAGAAAGCCGGGTGGGGGTACCTGCAGAAGTGAAATCCAACAGGTTTCGGAGAACCGAGAGCAGAAATTTTGAGTAGTTCGGAAAACCGATAAATATCACCTCTGGATGGTTCCAGAGTGGGGTGGGAATGGACATTTTGCAATATCTTTCCCTGCCACGCTCACCAAGCCACGCCCACAGAACCAGTAGTAAAAAAAACTGAATTTCACCACTGGGGACCTGGGAAAGACTGCCCCAGCCAGCCAGGTGGTCCTTGCTGGCTCTCAAATGGCATCCCCGGCCCAAGCTCTGGGAGGGCAGGAGGGAAGCCCCAAAGAAGCCGGGAGGGGCCTGAGGGGTGAGGAAGGTGACCAGCAGGTGGAGGCCCTCTCTTGCTGCTGGGAGGGTATTCCCCGGTTGACCCTGCTGGGCAGCCTTCTGCAGCTGGGTCTGAGAGGGCAGCCTGGATGTGGACCAGGGGTGAAATCCAGCAGGTTCTGGAGAACCAGTAGCGGAAATTTTGAGTGGTTCGGAGAACCAGCAAATACCACTTTCTGGCTGGCCCCAGAGTGTGGTAGGAACAGAGATTTTGCAATATCCTTCCCCCAGGAGTGGGGAGGGAATGGGGATTTTGCAGTATCCTTCCCCTGGAGTGGGGAGGGAATGGAGATTTTGCAATATCCTTCCCCTGCCACACCCACCAAGTCACACCACACCCACCAAGCCACACCCACAGAACCGGTAGTAAAAATTTTTGGATTTCACCACTGATGTGGACCCACTGGAGGAAGAAAAACATGGCTTCATAAAGTGTCTGGGGTCTTCTCTCCGGTTTCCCCCTCCCCCATAAATAAATTTAGCAAGGTTCCTTTGTGAGACACTTTGAAGCTGGAGAGGAGTTTGGGATTGGGCCTGAGGGGTAGAGAAATGATTTCTTTCTTTATCCCAGGAAATCTCCAGGTTTTGGAGCTGTGAACAGCTGTCAAGAACGCTGCTGATTCATTTTCCCAAATATTTTACTCTGCCATCGGGGCAGGCAGGAATAGAAAGCTAGAATAACAAAGTCACAAGCAGTGATTATTATTTTTTTTTGAAAAGGCACCATGGCCAGAATATTAGCTTAGCCGCACTGACCCCGGACGATTCTGGCTCCAGGATTCTGTTTTCATTCTGCCTGGAAGACAAAGGAGCGCAATCGGATGCTTGAAGGGAGGGATCCTATCCAGAGCTCTCCCACACAATGAAAGCCTTCTTGGGGTGCAGACTCCCCGCTTTCTCCTCAGCTCTGAGAGCGGCCCATTGCTTACGTGTCTCCCAAGGCTGCCCAACCCCCCAGTGCCAACCCGAAGGAAGCCCTTTCTTCCCCATGGAGCTGGGACTGGGGCAGAACGGAAGAGCCGAAAGGAGGCTGGAGGGCCCTTACTAGCCCTTCTTTTGTGGCCCTTAATTCCACCCCCACCCCCCTGGCCAGAAGGCACCCATACTGCTTTTCAGGACAAACCTCCTTGCTGGTGTTAGAACTGGCATAAAGGAAACAACTGATACCCAGCAATGGCTGTTTAGGGTTGCACCAGTTGTGAAATCCAAATTTTTTTACTACCGGTTCTGTGGGTGTGGCTCGGTGGGTGTGGCAGAGGAAGGATACTGTACTGCAAAATCTCCATTCCCACCCCACTGCAGGGGAAGGATACTGCAAAATCCCCATTTCCTCCCCACTCGGGAGCCAGCCAGAGGTGGTATTTGCTGGTTCCCCGAACTAGTCAAAATTTCCGCTACTGGTTCTCCAGAACCTGTCAGAAACTGCTGGATTTCACCCCTAGGTTGCACCCCATCTCCAGGGTTGCTGTGGAAGCCCTGCCTTAATCTAAAGCTTATGCTGCAAAGTCGGGGGAACAAAGCCCCCCCCCCCCCCGGAAAAGGCCAGCAGAAGTGAGCCAGCTCTGTTCTGCCTCAGCAGCCTGCTAATTGCTGGCTCCTTTCTCTAAGGCTTCCTGCGGTTTGCAGATAAGGCTCTTTCTGAACATCGTGTTCAAGAGGGAGAAACGTCATTGCCTAATTATATAACTGCTGAGGGTCTTGTTTATCTGCGGCTTCCTTGCCAGGCAGCTCTGCCTGCTGCCTGCGTTGCCGTCTGGAGCTCACCTGGCACCTCTGCAAGATGGGCAGAAGACCCCCAACAGCGGCTGGGGATGGGCTTTGGTGGTTCTGAGGCGAGGCAGCGAAGCAGGATTTGGCTAGTGGTGATAACAGGGGCTGTGACCTTGCAAGCCGCTCTTTGAAAGTGCCTTTATACAAGCAACAAAGCACCCAGATGTTGCAATATTGTGACTGTCATTAATCACTCAGCCTTGTTTGTGCAGATTAGAAGCCGTATTTGCATACACCTTTTCACAGGGTTTGTTTTGCTTCTAACAGCAAACCCTTGCAGAATCCCGAACAGGAGACAAGATTCCTTCGCCAAGCTTGGGAGGGGGGGAGATCAAGTGGTCTCTGCACCAGTTTGGGACTTCGCCTGATTCTGATACATCTTTTCAGCCATAAAGGCACACAAAACAATGAGAAAAACAAGAGAGGGGCCAGATTTTTGTGATGTTGATCTTGGGCTTTGCCTCAGCCAACCGGGGGCAGGGGAAGAGGGGGGGGCAGTCTCTGTGCCAGGATTAGCCACAGTTTCTTTGTAGTTAACAACACCTAGAAAGCGGAAATCAGAAAGAACAAACTGATCCTGAGGCAGCGGTCTCTGCTTCTGCTTTCCAGGGTCAGCAAAACATGAGCCAGCCCTCCCTTGGTGCAGCTGTTTTCTTGTGGGGGTGGGGGCTCACCAGATGGGCTGAGCGAAGGAGTATGACAACAGCCCTGAGCCTCTTGAGGCAGCAAAGGGCTCTCCGGCTCTGCCTGAGGATCGCCACGGTTGGCATCAGCAGGGTCAGGGGCCGCTTCCCTTCAGCACCAGAGCAGCTCTTGACCCCTTTGGGCCCAGGGCAACCCACGGACCACAGCCCCTCCTAAGGCTGGGGTGGATGCTTTCTAGCCGGGGGCAATTTTGCTCACCAGCTACTGTCTGGCTGCAATCCTGTCCTGTCCTGTCCTAAGGATGGGCATCAAGAGTGTGGGCATACGATGCTCAGTTGCATGGTCGCTTTCTGCCCTCCCCATGGGGGCATTGGAAAGCAAGAAGGGGGCAGCGGAATGAAAGCAGCTCTGGCCCTTTGGAGTTGGCTGCCTGCAGCCATCCCCAACCGGCCCCACCAGTGGTGTGGGGTCCATGGTCTCAAGCAGGGCTTCCTAAGCAGTGAGCTGGGCCTTTCTCGGGCAGCTGCAGAACCCAAGGAGAGCAAAGAGGCTCTGAGTGACTTCGTTGCCGTCCATCTCCCCTTCCCCAAAGTTCCTTGTCTGGTTTTCATTGGTCTCCGTTCGGGGTGTGTGGATTTGTTGGGCAGATGTGGACATCCAGACGTCCTGAAAGGAGGAGTGATGCAGCCTCTGACTGAGAGGCTGGGCCTTCCCAAGAGACCCCCCCCCACTCCTTCATTGCTGCTGCTGTTGCTGCGGGGGGTGGGGGGTGGGAGAGCAGAGCCTGTTGCTGGGCAGCAGCTGTGGGAGCCGCAAGGGAGAAGCTGCGGTTTCTTTCCTCTGAGGCAAACAAGGCAGCCGCCTCAGGTCTCATCATATGAGTCTAATTCACACATGGAGGTGGGGGGGGGGTAGCGGGGGAGCCTTACGTCAAAGGGCTCTGTGCAGGCTTCCTTCCTCTTTCTGCACCACGGCTGGTATAAAAGGGCCAGAGCTATAATTACCCTCCGTGGGCTTCTTCCCATCTGCTCACAGACGCAGCCCAGAGAGCCTCTTCCCCAGCGCCTCCCCTTGAATTTGTGCGGGAGGGGGGGGGCTGGGGAGGCATGCACAGCAGCTTCCGCCTCCTGGGGAGCCCAGTTGGGCCGACCTCAGTTCAGACAGCGAGCACAGGGCCTAGCAAGCTAAGAGCCTGTGGAGCCTCTGCCTGAGGAGGAGCAGCTCTTCT